TTTTTGGTTTTTTTTTTGCCTAATTGTGGGTGATGTCATGATGGCCGTTTGGCGCTTTGAGTGGCACCGGGGGAAGGTGAAGGATCCAGGCAGAGCCTGTGTGTGTGTGACAATGAGTGCCGTTTTCTGCATCATCAGCAAAGCTCGGCATTTATTATCGCTCCGGGAACACGCGGCCCCCATCGCCGTGATAAGCCGGAGCTGAGTAGCGCCAACTCTCCCCCGTTCGAGGGTCTTAGAAATATTGGAAGGAATAATTAGATTTCATATCGTTACTGACGCAGCCATCTGAGGATCAGCCAGATTAATTTCTCCTTCTCTGCGCTCATTAATATTCATTAGGGACTCGGAGAGGCTGAGTATTTCCAGCGCGGAAACGCCAGGCCTGCTGCAGCCGCTCTGTTTATTCCCATTTCAGAAACTAAATCTAGGCGTGTGGCTGGATCATGGCACATATACCTTCCTGGCGCCTCTGAGGAGTAATTAGCAGTGGAAAATGAGCACTTTTTCAGGTGTTCTGTTTACTGCACCCACAGATTTTGTGAGATTGTCTTATGTGACGTCTGTATTACATTGTAACATTAATCCTTGCATTGACCTATACAGAAGAAGCAATTTTGATGTTATAATGAACAACCTTATCTATCTTTAGTGTTCCGTGTGCAGGCTCCTGAAGTATGGATCAGTTCCAGTGTGAAATAAAAAGATGCAATGGGGGAGATTTGCTAAAACTGGAAAGTGCAAAATCTGGTGCAGCTCTGCATAGGAACTGATCAGCTTCCAGGTTTTATTGCCAAAGCTAAAAGTGTTACTAAACCCAGGAGGACCCTGCATTCACTATATCTGGTCTCCCCGGACCCCGCATTCACTATATCCGATCTCCCCGGACCCTGCATTCTCCCTATATCACTATATCGGTCTCCCCGGACCCTGCATTCACTATATCCGGTCTCCCCGGACCCTGCATCCACTATATCCGATCTCCCCGGACCCTGCATTCACTCTGATCTCCCTGGACCCTGCATTCACTATATTCGGTCTCCCCGGATCCTGCATTCACTATATATCTGCTCTCCCCGGACCCTGCATTCACTATATCTGGTCTCCCCGGACCCTGCATTCACTATATCCGCTCTCCCCGGTCCCTGCATTCACTATATCTGGTCTCCCCGGAGCCCGACCCTGCATTCACTATATCCGCTCTCCCCGGACCCTGCATTTCACCGCTCTCCCCGGACCCTGCATTCACTATATCCGGTCTCCCCGGAGCCCGCATTCACTATATCCGGTCTCCCCGGACCCTGCATTCACTATATCCGGTCTCCCCGGACCCTGCATTCACTATATCTGGTCTCCCCGGACCCTGCATTCACTATATCTGGTCTCCCCGGACTCTGCATTCACTATATCTGGTTGCCCGTGACCCCGCATTCACTATATCTGGTCTCCCCACAGTACACACAACATGGAAATGCAATTGTTTTAGTAAATATAAACTGCTAAATACCTTTTCTAGTCAGCAGTATATAGCTGACTTCTATCAGTGTCCAGGTGAGCACTGGTTAATCTTGTAGGAGGAGTTTTCATTGCAATCTGACTGTCCTATGAGGCTGCATGACCTGTCTGGACAGTGCTGATTGGCCCTGTGCTGATCACAGGCACCTGTCCAAAGAAAAAAAATAAAACTTTTGCAATACACACTAAACTGAGCATGTGCAGAGTGACTCTTAGAGCTCTGTACTATCTAGAAGGGGAGGATCAGAGGAGAGGATCAATCAGTCTTTTTACAGTGTGGAGGATTAACCCCTTAGGTTCCATAGTGTGTATAACAAGCATGCTTTACTGCATATACAGACTAGATTTCCTGTTGTGGGTTTAGTGACACTTTCATTGAACAAGCTGAAGTTGGAAGCTGATGGGCTACCATGCATAGGTGGCCACCAAATTCTGAGTGTAACAGTTTTAGTAAATCTCCCCCATTGAATGTTAAAAAAAAAAAATCCTGATCACTTGCGCATAGTAGTTCAATGTTACTATGGTAACATTGTATTGCTTTGGTCACAGTGTGCTGAAAAATAAAATAGTAAAAAAAAAATGTAATAAATTAAAAAAATAATAGAAACATTTGAAAAAAAATACAAATTCAATTATTATTATTTTTTTCACCAAAGAAATGTAGCAGAATACATTTTGACCTAAATTTATGAAGAAATGTTATTTATTTACAAACTTTTATAACAAAAAAAGTGCATTTTTTGTCAAAAGTTTGAGGTGTTTTTTGTTTTATTTAGCAAAAAAAATAAAAAAACTCAGTGGTGATTAAATAGCACCAAAAGAAAGCTCTATTTGTGTGATAAAAATGATAAAAATGTCATATAGGTACAGTGTTGCATGACCGCACAATTGTCATTCAAAGTGCGACAGCGCTGAAAGCTGAAAATTGGCCTGGGCAGGAAGGGGGTAAAAGTGCCCAGTAGGCAAGGGGTTAAAGTAATACTAAGAATGTCCGTCCATCCACTGCAGCCAATCAGAAGAGAGCTTTGATGATCCCAGGGGTAGTAACCTCCAGAAAGATGGATTCTGATTGCTTGAGGTCCCTTAGCTGTTACACGTGACATGGGATTGTAAATAAACAGCACCTGTCCTCTAGGCCCTATTAAGGACTGGCACAATATTGTCGCGTGTTTGTGCGTGTTCTGGCGCTACGTGCAGATCCCTTTCACTGCGATGGACTGCGCTGTGCGTCACAAACACGGCGAAGTATTGGATGTAGCCAGGGGCGGACTGACAACTCATGGGCCCCCGGGCAATAGGGGATCATGGGGCCCCTGTGTCCTTGCCATAAACTCAAAAAAGCCTATGAAAAAGGTACCAGGGGCATCTCATGGGGCCCCCTACTGACCCCGGCCCTCGGGCAGTGCCCGAGTTTCCAAATGGTCAGTCCGCCACTGGATGTAGCACTTTGCCATGCTAAGCCCTGCATGTTTGTAATCCTGAGTTTTGCCACGTTGGTTGCATGTTTTTCGATGCTGCAAAACTGCCCATCTGCTTGGCCTGTTGGAGTGCCATTATCAGCGAACGACACTGCAAACATGGCGTACGCTTTTTTGCACCTGTTGTAGAAACAGTCAGGTGTGAGTGGCACCTTGAAGGAATAGCGGCAGCTGTTTTTCCTGGAAATTTTGTTCTACCGCAGGGACAGGAGGGAGGCATGAGGCACCGGAGCCTCTGGAATGAACATGCTGCAACCTGCTGATTGGCAGTAGCTGTCGCTCTGTACCGTACACAGGGTCTCTTTAGCACAGCGAGGAAGACGTTGACCGCCGTACATCAGTGGGATGTGGGAATTGCTGGCGTGGGCACATTTCGGTGGGCATTTCAGCCGCCGTCTGCAAATCGCAGTGTCAGGCCCCCAAGCAAAGTACAGCCTGCTAATATTTCTGCAAATAACGCTCGATCGAAGGATAACGATTCCGAAGACCCTCGCTGCTGGGGCAGGATCACCACCTAGTGGATGGGCTGGGGAATCGCTGAATGGCCAGTCTGTATCATTATTTATTTATTACAGAATATATATATATATATATATATAGTACACAGGGGCGGACTGACAACTCATGGGGCCCCCGGGCAGAAGGGGATCATGTGGCCCCTGCGTCCTTGCCCAAACTCAAAAAAGCCTATGAAAAAGGTACCGGGGGCATCTCATGGGGCCCCCTACTGACCCCGGGCCTTCAGGCAGTGCCCGAGTTTCCAAATGGTCAGTCCGCCCCTGGTTGTACATTCACATCAGTCCCTAACCCTCAAGGGGTGTACAATCTAAGGTCCCTAACTCACATTCATACATACACATACTAGGGACAATTTAGACAGGAGCCACTTAACCTACCAACATAGCTTTGAAGTGTAGGAGGAAATCAAAGTACCTGGAGGAAACCCACACAGGCACAAGGAGGACATGCAAGCTCCAGGCAGGTGGTGCCGTGGCTGGGATTTGAACCAACAACCCTAGTACTGCCAGGCGGAACCATTTAGCCACTGTGCCGCCCACATTATAAGTTATTATTTGTCATTGATGGTGGAAAGGTTTCTATCGGTGAGGATGGTGTTGCCGTGGTTCTGCCTTTTACAAGCTGAAGGAAGAAGTGAAGGTGGAATCTGGCACCAATAAATCATTCCACTTACCAGCCGGGTTGCAATGATTAAATCTGACCTCCAGCCTTCCCTGCAGTTGTACCGGCTCCTCTCCTGGATTGAAAAATACAGATTTCACTGCACACTGTGAGCTTCTCACATTGTGCATTAGAAGATACAGCAAATCAGACAGAGCCCGCCTCGTTTCCTGGTTAGAGGATGTCCAGCATCATCTAGCTCTTTCCTACCCAGCCTGACGGTCCCTGGCCCGCCCCTTTCATTCATTGGATTTCAGTTCTTCCAATCTTGAAGTCTCAGCATCACCTGAGTCAGCTTACCTAGGAGTACCCAACGGTATTGTGATATCTGTGTAACTCCTCCCAAGAGCCAGTCCACTGCTTGCATCAAGGCTGAGGGCTCTTGAAAGGAGTACAGAGGCAGGGTGCTGGGATGTTTTCGGGAAGCTGTGTACAGCAGCCCACCAGCCATGATCTGCCTGCATTGTATAGACAAGCACAGAGACCAATGATGATCTAAAATAAGTTATGCAATAAAAAAAAGGAAAGGTTTTTTTAAAAATATCACTGTGTTGATGAGGGGGAAGGGAATATATATATATATATATATATATATATATATATATATATATATATATATATATAATATAAAATATATATAATATATCCTAGATTGTAAGCTCCAAGGAGCAGGGCCCTCCTATCCCTCTTGTATTGAACTGTATTGATGCTGTATTGTCTCCTTTTATATTGTAAAGCGCTGAGCAAACTGTTGGCGCTATATAAATCCTGTATAATAATAATAATATATATATAACAGGTTAAACTTCAGCTTTGGTGTAGTCACTCATGATTGTCATACTCTGTCTGTGTCTGCAGGGCGGCGCTCTCTCACTGGAGGTGGATGAAGACTGCTGGCTGAAAAATGTGACTCTCGTCCCCTGTGAGTTTGAAGCCAATTCCGTCCTGTACCGGAAAGGTGAGTGCCCAGACCCCGTGTGCTGCTTTCATGATGTGTTGGAAAAAAAAAAAAAACTTTCAAATTGAATGTATCTGCCCAATACACTCAATGTAGTCCAGCGCACTTCATCCTGCTGCTTTACACTGAGCCTGGGCAGTTGTGTGGCAATACTAGTTCCTTGGCTTCTGGAAGTGCAAAGTTGCTTCTCCGCTCCGCCCAATGCAGGTCTGACAGTGCCGAATTATGGACAGTGCTGCATGGAAGCACTGTGAACAGTCTACTGAATCTGGCTATAAAACACACATTAGAGTCAGTGGTGCAGTTTTGTAGTTTTTTTAGCCAGCAAAAAAGAAAATGAGGTGAACACCCCTTTAAATGGTCACTCTGCATCTTGTGAAACTTGAAATAATTTTCCATATCTCTCTCTTTAGGGGACCAGATCTGGTGTAAGACATCTCAGGTCATAGAACAAGGTGAAGTCATCCGGGCCTTCCTCATGGCTGAACCCCAAGCCATCCCCAACTTCAGCATAAAGGAGGAACCCGGAGAGACCTCGCAGGAGATCACCAGCCAGCCCGAGTTCCAGCTTCTCCCACAACAAGCTGGTATGGCCGCCATCCTGGCCACTGCGGTGGTTAACAGTAAGTAGTGATTTAAAGTGGACCAGTTATTAACCAGAACTCACCCTTGATGTGCATATAAATGAAACTGTGTAAATACAAAAGGAACAATGTTACTTTGTATCTCTTTATTTCCTGTCCCAACAATGTTTATAAAAATGTTACTTTGTATCTCTCTATATCCTGTCAGTAACACAAAGTAACATTGTTTATAAACATTGCTCAGGCGGGATGTAGAGAGATACAAGTTAACATTGTTTATAGACCTTGATTAGATGGGAGGTAAATACAAAGTAACATTGTTTATACACATTTCTCAGACAGGATATAGAGAGATACAAGGTAACATTGTTTATAAACATTGATTAGATAGGAGGTAAATACAAAGTAACATTGTTTTTAAACATTGCTCAATCTCCCATCTGTACAATGTTACATTGTATCTCTCTATATCCCATCCGAACAATGCTTACAAATAATCTTACTTTGAATTTCTCTATCACCTGCCTGATCAATGTTTCTAAACAATGTTACTTTGTATCTCTCTATATCCTGTCTGTAACACAAAGTAACATTGTTTATAAACATTGCTCAGCCAGGATATAGAGAGAGATACAAGGTAACATTGTTTATGAACATTGATTAGATAGGAGATAAATACAAAGTAACATTGTTTATAAACATTGCTCAATCTCCCATCAGTACAACGTTACATCGCATCTCTCTATATCCCATCAGAACAATGTTTATAAACAATGTTACTTTGAATCTCTATCTCCCATCTGAACAGTGTATAAAAACAATGTTACTTTCAGTTTTCCTGAAAGTGATGCTTTCATATAAAGCCATTTATTTCTTTGGATTGTGCTGGGAATCTCTATTATCTACATGCAGAACATTTGCTGAGAATATGAGCCAACATGGTATATCACAATTGTGAACATCTTTCTTATTTCAGAGGACATTTTTCCATGCAAGGATTGCGGCATCTGGTATCGCAGCGAGCGCAATCTGCAGGCCCATCTCATGTACTACTGCGCCAGCCGCCAGAGCTCCACCTCCCCCACCGTGGAAGAGAAGCCGAAAGATTCCTACCCCAACGAGCGGGTCTGTCCCTTCCCGCAGTGCAAGAAGAGCTGCCCCAGTGCCAGCTCCCTGGAGATTCACATGAGAAGCCATAGTGGTGAGTAAAGACCTGGACAGCGATATGTCCCTGAATTGCTTTTGTTCAAGTTGTACGGATCAAGGTGACTTTCATGTGCCCATTGGCTGTGGGTGCCATTGGGTATTTTTTACCTTAATTTTCAATAAATGTTATTTGAACTATTACATGGCTCTTCTTACATTATTACTCCCAGTTAATATATCTTCTCCCCAACCATTTCATCCTCAAGTAAGGAATTATCACTGGGATGGTTAAACACGGATTTGGAGTTAAGCACGCCAGAGTCATGTCGGGCGGAAGTAACGATGTAAGCAGAGCAGGGGTTCTGATAAAGGTCACTGAAATTGAGGAAAAAACCAGCAGTGTGTGGTCTGGACCAGGGACGGACTGACAACTCATGGGGCCCCTGGGCAACAGGGGATCATGGGGCCCCTGTGTCCTTGCCCAAACTCAGAAAAGCCTGTGAAAAAGGTACCAGGGGCATCTCATGGGGCCCCCTACTGACCCCGGGCCCTCGGGCAGTGCCCGAGTTTCCAAGTGGTCAGTCCGCCCCTGGTCTGGACATTTGTTTGGTCAGGACCTCTCAGCTCCAGAATTCTCCTTATATTAAGTATCTTTTTCATTATCAAGCCTGAAGACTTCTAACTTAAAGCTGATTAGTTCCAATTTTGAATAGGCCCCAAGATGACTGGTTCTCTTTAACCACTTCAAGTCCGGACACTTTCACCCCCTTCCATTCCAGGCCAATGTTCAGCTTTCAGTGCTATCACACTTTGAATGACAAATGAACATGTCCAAAATTTTTGAAAAAAAGTGTTTTTCTTATAAAATTTTGCAAATAAATAATCTTTCTTCATAAATCTTGGCCAAAATGTATTCAATTATCTTTTTAGTAAAAAAAAAAAAAAAACCCAAATTAGTTTATAAGCAAAAATTATAATTTATAAATTATAATTTTTTGTACATTTTTATTTTTTTTTATATTCTTATTTTTGTTTTTTTTTTTTTTTTTTTAACATACTGTCACCGTAGTAGTACAGTGTCACCGTAGTGACACTGTACTACTTTTGGGGGGTGAGGAAGATTTTTTTTTTTTTACACTGATTGCTTTTACACCCATAAATGCAGTAAAAGCAATGGTTTCTCCTTCTCTCTGGCTGCATTCTTGCAGCCATTGACAAATACTGTGAGAGCTGTGATTGGTCACAGCTTGTCACATGGTACAAGGCTGTTGTGAATAGCCTTGTACCATGTGACCTCTGTTATCATTCACAGATTTCACAAGTAGTAAGCAATGATGTCAGAAGTGACATCTTGCTTACTACTATTCATGTGATCACTGATTGGCCAATCAGTGATCACATGATCGGGACTTCACACAGAGGTCCCGTATAGCGATCGGTGTTCTGCTGTGTCCGGAGCACACAGCGGGCACTGGATTGTGGTTCCCTGTGCTCCCAGGGAGCGTGCACAAGCAGGAAAGCGGGAGGACGTTTATAAATGGCCACCCGCTCCTGCACTGCTCCCGTCCGGCCATTTATGTACATGGGACAGACAGGAAGTGGTTAATATTAAGGCCAGAGATTAGATTAGTCCATATTAGTGCCCTTTTGCACACTTTGCAGGTATACACCCTCCTGTCAATCAGCTCCACCATCATGAAAGTATACATTGCAGCACAGAGGGGAATCTGGATCTGCACTGCGGTCAGGATACATGCAGCTTGTTCATTCTGTGCTGGTACATTGCCATAACTGGAGAAGAGGGAGCATACTGCACGTTCGTGGATTTTAGACTAGAAAGAACACTTGCTTCTGTGATGCTGGCAGGTATGGGGAATGTCTTAGCAACAAGACAGGATGGGGAAATAACTGTATATGTTAGTTTTTCGGCCAGGCTTTGGCAGTGACAAAATAGACCACAGGTATAGGCAATTACAATAATCAATATTTTTCAAAGCTGCTCACTTTTTTTAGTTTTGTTTTGTTTTTTTAATTAACTTACTGTTGGCTTTTCACTTTTATGCAAGTGGTGAACTTAGCCTTTGGACAGCAGGATTTAATTAGGGTAAACTAAGGCATTATAGAGGGTTAAATAGAAACACATTTAAAATGTTATTTTTGTTATGTGTCAGATTCCTTTAACCAACATCACGTGCAAAACGGAAGCTAATCCCTCTGATCTGCAGATGATTGAAACAGAGCAGAGTTACTTTGTATCTCTCTTGGTCTGAACAATGTTTATAAACAATGTTACCTTGTATCTTTCCCTGTCTGAGCAATGTTTATAAACAATATGTCTGAACGTCTGTTCTAAAATAGCAGCAGCTTCTACAGTGGCTGTATTTGCGTAGCAGCTCCCGGCAGCCATTTTTGGCCGTTGGAAATTGCCAGCAAGTGCATGGTAGGAACGGCAGCAGAACAAAAGAACAGGTCTTACTACACCCACCTTGCACACTTAAGTTAGGTTTTTTGGGCGTGTCGAGGGCATCTAATGTCCCCAACTGATTAAACACTTGTTTTAATGGTCAAGTCTGCAGTAAAGCAGATTGGATAAAACCGCCTTCTCAGTATGCGATCGGTTAACCCATTGTTATTCCGGCATCTGTCTGTCCTCTGTTGCTCCCCTCAGTACAGCAGCAGATCGTATGCGAATAGTCGAGTCCTCCTCCATAGATAAGTTCAGGAGAGTAGCCGATGATAGAACATTTTTGGCACTTGAGACAGGCATTTCATCTCCCATCTCTTGGATTTCATACGATGTTCCACTCTCTGCGTTCAAAGTCTCCCCTTCAGATGAATCACAGCGCGGGCTGTTATCTCACCATCTTAATCAGAGCGTGCACGCTTCTCTCTGTGAGTGAAAGTGGTGACTATTGCTTTGTGATAACGAGGTGCCCAGGGGTGGCGCTAACTGTTTGTCTTATCTCCCCGCAGGAGAACGACCGTTTGTGTGCTTGATCTGCCTGTCCGCCTTCACCACCAAGGCCAACTGTGAGCGCCACCTGAAGGTCCACACCGACACCTTGAATGGTACAATAACCCGCACCCTCTCCTCTTCGATCATTTTGATTTGCTGGGCTCATTGCTTCTACCATTACACCTATGAGCCACCTTCTGCAAATCATTGGTCTGGACTCATGCTACTCAATGCTGGGTCTTAGTGGCTTCAGAATGGCTCATGTTATTAGAACGTTCAGGTAGACACGCAAGTTTTGTTAAAAAGTTCCAGCTGGAAGAAGTACAGAAATTATTGCTGCTGCCGGTCTGTTAATGAGAGTTGTTCGTGGCCACCAAGAATTGGAGAAGCCCTGCTCTAGGTCAGCAGTTGCTTGTCCCCAAGCTAGTGGTTGGGCTTACCTTTAATGCCTACTGTTCCTTCAGTCATTAAAGGAGAAGTTACATAGTTAGTCTGGTTGAAAAAAGACAAAAGTCCATCCAGTTCAACCATTAAAAAAAAAAAAGTTATAATCCTATGCCCACAGTTGATCCAGAGGAAGGCAAAAAAAAACCCCAGCAAAGCCTGACCCAATTTGCTCCTGCAGGGAAAAAAATTCCTTCCTGATCCCCAAGAGGCAATCGGATATTCTCTGGATCAGCTTTACCTATAAATGTTATATCCAGTTATATTCTGTGTATCCAAGAAACAATCCAGGCCTTTTTTAAAGCAATCCACTGAGCTGGCCACAACCAACTCTTGAGGGAGTCTATTCCACATTCTCACAGCTCTCACTGTGAAGAAACCTTTCCGTGTTTGGAGATTAAATTTCTTTTCCTCCAGACATAAAGAGTGCCCCCCTAAGATCACCTTTAGTAACATGTTGCACTCATATTCAAGTGTAATATGATTCTCACGCACCTTCCAGCACCCTGGCCTGATCTCTCATTGTCACAGCAAGTCAGGGATCCTCTCCCCGCACCCTCTGTCAATTCAAAAACAGCTTGGCCGTACAGGACACACAGCTGCATTATTCAGAGTTCTGTGAATGAATGAACTACAAGTACCTTCCTCTACAGTGGCAGACGGCTTGTAGTTCTCAATGATCTGCAAGGGAGCGGTTGAGCTCTCTAGTTCATTAATCTTCCTGGACTTCAGTAACTGTCTGCCTGTACGGGTGCTAAGGGTAGACAGCTGTACTGAATGTGTGCAGCAACCTGACATTGCACCAATGATCTGCTGATTACGGGTAAAATGCTTTACAGGCTCCCAGGAAAACCTTTACCTGAAAAAAAATGTGAATTTATTTATTTTAGGTACTTATATAGCACCGTCACTTTACGCAGCGCTTTACATATATATTGTACATTCACATCAGTCCCTAACCCTCAAGGGGCGTACAATCTAAGGTCCCTAACTTACATTCATACATACACATACTAGGGACAATTTGGACAGGAGCCAATTCACCTACCAGCATGTCTTTGGAGGTGTGGGAGGAAACCCGGAGTAAACCCACAGGCACAGGGAGAATAGGCAGGAGGTGCCGTGGCTGGGATTTGAACCAACAACACTAGTACTGTCAGGCGGAAGTGCTAACCATTTAGCCACTGTGCTGCCCATTTAGTTTTTTTTTTTTTTTTTTTTTTTTAAGTGAACTTACTCTTTCCCTTCAGCCTGTGATGCAGATGTGAGGACATTGTTCAATAGACGGCATGGAAGGTTTACACAGCACAGCTTTATTTGGTCTCTCGTTCCCTTGCAGAGTTCCTTCCAATTGTCCCCCTCCAAATGTATGTAGAATGTGCAAACCTCCACCACAAGGCAGTGTTGGAGCAACCAAACATGGAGCCTAAACACTGTTGGGGTAAGGGGTTACAAAAAAGACATTTCCAAGAGGCGCTGGGGCTTATAAAATGGAGAAAAAAAAATGATGCCTTTCAGGGGCTCAAAACTTCATCAGGGTTATAACATAGATTTTGATCTTATATATGTACAGTATATAATACGAGTTTTATCATAGGTGGACTCTATTGATTTTTTTTTTTTCATTTATATCTGTTTCATAGCCCTGAGGAATGGGGAGTGTTTTGAACCCCCTGAACACATTGGCTGTTTTATGTGACCATAGGATGATCCATTACCATTATTTGGACTCTTTCACCATTTGGTCTGGCGATCTTGTTGTTTGTTATGACGTGGGGGGGGGGGGGGGGGGGCGGTTGTCGCTAGGTCAAGGTAAACAGACTTCAGAAAATGACATTTGGGGGCTCCAGCCGTGAACAGCTATATGTATGTGAAAGAATTGTTTGGCACCTGTTGAAAAATGGCAGTAGTACGTATTCCCTTTGGAGTAACATGGAATATACACACACGCAACAGCCACCCCTATGGAGAGTTCTAGCCTTTCCCTTTCTGTAATGAAAGTCTTTAGACCCAGCTGGTTAGAACGCAGTCTGATCTGATTTGTCTTTGTTTCTACTCTTAGGTGTGTGCCATGGCTGTGGCTTTGTCTCCACCACCCGAGACATTCTGTACAGCCACCTTGTAACCAATCACATGATCTGCCAGCCTGGGTCAAAGGTCGACGTGTACCCGGTCGTGAAAACACTGCCCGCAGTCAAGCCATCCAACTCCGGTAGGTTTTGCTGTTGCCAGCTGACCCTTTTATTGTAAAATTCCAATAGCCTCCACTTTTCTTGTGCCGGGTGTTTTGCACAAGAGACTGACCACACTACCCAGTGCGCTCTAACAGACCTGGTGAGACAATTTCTTTGTTAGAATTGATGGATGGAGGTATAACCAGTTATCTCATTTTGTTGCAAATTTACCACAACCATTGAGGGATGTAGGAGAAATGAAAAAGTTTGAAAAATTAATGAATGCTGAATTAAGCCCAAAACATATCACCTCTAGGATATATAAAATCCTTGTGGACTTAGAGCAGTGGTTCTCAACCTGTGGGTCGAAAGACCCTTTCACAGGGGTCACCTAAGACCATTGGAAAACACATATTTCCAATGTGTAAAGAGCAGCTACTGTGTAGAAAGCAGCTACTGTGCTGAAAGCAGCTACTGTGTTGAAAGCAGCAGTATTGGAGGTAAAACGACACTTCATGAATTATATTACTGGGTAAATAATTTTATGGTTGGGGGTCTCCACAACACGAAGAACTGTATTAAAGGGTCGCGGCATTAGGAAGGTTGAGAACCACTGAGTTAGAGGATGTAGAGCCCCCTGGATATTTAGGCAAATGGGAAAGGGAACTAGGAATAAAAGTCAACCCTCAGCAAAGGGAAGGTATTTTTAACCTAACACACAAGGTAATAAACATGCGCACAGTAGAGATGAACTACAAATGCTTGGCTAGATGGTATTTAACACCCAGTATAACCCATAAGCAGCAAGGGAAAGCCCCCCCCTCATGGTGCTGGAGAGGATGTGGAGAAAGTGTGTAATATGGAGCATATCTGGTGGAGTTGCCCGAGGATACAGGTTTATTGTCAGGAAATAGCTTACTATATATATCAAGGAAATATACGGGGTAAATATCCAAGGAGATCCACTGAAATGCTTATTCTACTATTCTGAGCCCATGGTGGAAGTAAATAGGAATAAAGTATTGTACCATTTAATCAGTGCAGCAAAGGGTTTGATACCAAAATTTTGGTTAGTGGCAGAGGTTCCGAGGGTGGTGGATTGGATAGAGTGGAGGGCATTTTCAGAATGGAGGAATTGAGATGTCTAGAGGAGGATAAGATGGGAATGTTTAAAGGAATATGGAGTGTTTGGTTGAATTTTAAAACCTCAGAAACTTATGCAGAACTAATTAAAGTAAAGGAGGTAGCCTAAGAATTCCTGATGAGATTGGTTGGAATAACAAGCTATGGAGAAACGGATACAGATAGAGAAAGATAAGACAACGTTGGTGGGATGGGGTTATAGAATGTATTTTATTTAGGGAAGAAAAGATGGAATGTTTTAATGTCGTTTGTATAATTACAAAATAAAAAGTTAAATTCTAAAAAAAAAAAAAAAAAGACACTCATCCCCAGGGTGTGAAGTGTGAGCACAGCTGCTGTACCTTATAGCCTCAATACAGATGTATGCTGGCCCACTGGTATTATTTTAATATTTCCAAAAACATCTGTAATAAAAGTAGAAAACTAAAAAAAAAAAAAAAAAAAAAACCCTGGTCAGACACACCCCTTCTTGTTCTCAGCACTAAGATTCTACATCAGTACATTTGTGGTTGGAGCTGTGACCATTACCTATGCTAGCACAGAGCACTGGAGTAGGAGAACAGAAAGAGGTAAATTAAGGTGTTTCCAAGAGAAATGTGTTAAAAAAAAAAAAAAAAAAAAAAAAGTAGTAATTCTGAGAGAGACACAATGGGGGAGATTTACTAAAACAGGTGCATTCAGAATTTGGTGCAGCTGTGCATGTTAGCCAATCAGCTTCAGCTTGTTCAATTAAGGGTTGACAATAAAACCTGGAAGCTGATTGGTTACTATGCAGAGGTGAGCCTGATTTTGCACTCCCCAGCTTTAGTAAGTAACCCCTTTTGTGTCTACACACCTCAACCTTCTCTGCGGCTGGTCTTCTTCCCATTATTGACATACTGAGCCCGTTTCTGCACATTACCTTTGTGTGGAGGTGGCTATCTTGGCAGAGGCAGTGTTTTTTTCCTCGTGTCAAAGTCTCCAGCAAGGCGAATAGGGAGCAGCACAGTAGTCAAACCTCCCTTCAAATCTGATGAGACTAGCAGTCGGAGGCAGCAGTGCCTTAGATGATCTCATACTGCAGATATACAACTAGGAGGCTACAGAACAGGAGTGCCTAGGCCAGAAAGTGCACTGATCTTTTTCTGGGGAAATTCCAGACAAAAAGTTGATCTTTCAAGGTGCTAGTTAGATACAAATAACTTTTCTAAATGTTCTTTATAACATAGAAAAGTCTGATGTTTTAAGTTCAGGTCCACTCTGCCCATTTTAATTTTATGTAGCTTATTCTTTGTTACTCATGTTTGTATTTATTTTTTTACAGGGGTAAATCAGATCTCCAGCCTTCTGAAGTGCAGCTTATGCGGATTCTTGGCAGACAGCCTTGTCAGTCTCCAACAGCATGCGATCATGCATGCTACTGCCACCCTCCCAGGCGTCTCTCGGTCCCCCAAGTACCCATCTGATGCAGAGAAGGAGTTGCCTCCCGATAGCTTGAAAAATGGAGATGCTAGATCGCCGGTCTCCTCCTCTTCCTCAGGTATGGAGGATCCTCCTCTGAAAGTCCACATCAAAGAGGAACCAGATGCACCGAGACCAGTCAGTGAAGTGGTTTCTACCAGCCCTGAGGCTAGAGATGAATCTGCTTTGGTTCCCTCTCCAGCTATTAAAATTAAGACTGAGATCTCCAGTCCTACCCCGGGATCGAGCCCGGTCCCCAATGAGTTGGGAGCAGCCGCTGGAGGGGGGACAATCATAGTGCCTCAGTATGTGTTTGGACATGAGGCAGCTCCCGCTATCGTCCCGCAAGCCTCGGAGATCCTGGCCAAGATGTCAGAGTTGGTACACAGCCGCCTGAAACAAGGACAAGCCATTACTTCTGTTGGCTTTACAGGAACTCCAGCACCCAAAGGTGCTACTTGTTACGAGTGCGAGATTACATTTAACAACATCAACAATTATTATGTGCACAAAAGACTTTACTGCTCTGGGCGGCATATGACAGATGAAAATCCAGGCAGTGGGCGCAAGTTGAAGGTGCATCCTGTGCGAGCCGCCATAGCTCCCGCAGTGTCAGCGGTTGATGAGCAGAGAGTGAGTCCACAACAAGAAGACACTGCAGCGGAAAGCAGCACCTCAACTGTTCAGATAAAAGTGGAGGAAGGCGCCGGAACAGAAAATGAAGTGTCTGGCAGTGGCCACGCAAGTGAGGGGAGCCAGAGCCCTGGTCTGCTGGAAGACGCAGAAGTAGATCTAACGCGTACTGTTTGTGAAGCTTGCAACATCCATTTCAGCAAACATGAGACTTATGTAGTGCACAAGCGCTTCTACTGCGCATCACGTCATGATCCTCCTCTGCGGCGCAGCGGAGTGATCAATAAGCCCGGGCCACCGTACACACCTCAGCCTGCTCCACGAACGCGGAAACGCAGAAAGCTGTATGAAATCCATGGCGTGTCCCCTGCAGACCTAACTCCTCCAGCGTTACTCCCACTGACCCGGGTGGAGGCCCTTCCACTCATGCCAGGGCTGATAGCAGCACCAACTGTACCTTCGCCCAGCTCCAGCCCAGATGCGGCAGAGGGGCCTATCGATCTAAGTAAGAAGCCACGTCTTTCTGTGGAGTCTCCGCTGCCACCACCAGCTGCCGCAGCGGTTGTCCCTCTGACGGATTACCATGAGTGCACAGCTTGTCAGATAAGCTTCAACAGCCTGGAAAGCTATCTGACTCACAAGAAGTTCTCCTGCCCGGCAGCCCCTTTACAGCAGAAAGCCTTACAGCAACTTCAGAAAATTAAATCCCCTCTCAATGCCTCAGGGAAGATAGGAGAGGATGGTGTGAGGGTGAAAGTAGAGAGGAGAGCAACTCTGAGTCCAGCATCAGGGAGCGACTCCATCCAGCCAGTCGCACTACCTTACATTGCTGTTCCTGACACAAAACCACTGCAACAGTACACCACCAGCTCGGTTGAGGCTTCCCCGTCTGCTACCACCACCTGCCCCTATTGCCCTCCTAATGTGGTTATCAGAGGAGACCTTCTCGAACATTTCCGAAGTGTCCATGGTCTGCTGTTGGCCAAACCCACCCCGGGTCACCGTTTACAAACAGCATTCATGGAGGTGCTACTGCCCACTCGGGTTCAGCAAAACAGCTCCTCTGAGAATAGCTTGCCCAGCCCACCCACTTCGTCCACTTCTCCGCTGCAAGGCCAAGGGCTGCCAAGAGACACTGCGAACTGCAAAGATGCTGTCTCCTCATCCTCTTCTTCATCCTCCTCCAATGGCAGCCCGGTTTCAAGCACCACTCCAAGGCCAGTGCTCACCAGCACTCCAAGGCCTCTGTTGCCAAGCTCTCCAGCTCTTCCTCTAAATCCTGTGGCTGAAACCAGGCTGCCCACACATGTTATTCTTCCTGGGGATAAACCCATGCAGCCTCCTAAAGCCAGTCTGTCTTCTGCTCTGCCCAATGGAAATCACAGGTACTGTCGACTTTGCAACATCAAGTTCAGCAGCCTTTCCACGTTTATAGCCCATAAAAAGTACTACTGTTCTTCCCATGCAGCTGAACACGTCAAATAGCACTGAGGAATATGCTTTTTGTAAGAAGTAATTTTTGAAGCACTAAGCAGGCTGAGCAGTTCGAAGGACCATTTTGTTTCTGTGTGGATGGTACTGTCTACAAAAAGCCAACAAGAAACATTGTTCCAGTGTGAAAAGGCTCCACAGTTCTAAGGACGTTGCCTGAAATGTGGGCTAGTCTGCTGTCACTGCTATGAGGCATGATGAAACTGGACGATGGCTGTGGGGGCCCAAGACCCATCAGGAGACCCTGTAGAGGTCACTGGGACCCATCAGTTGACTCTGTGGAGGTCACTGGGACCCATGAGTTGACTCTGTGGAGGTTACCAGGACCCATCAGTTGACCCCTTTGGAGGTCACCAGGAACTGTAGATTTTCCTCTCCTAAGGTTACGTTGTTGAACACACCAACTACTTTGTGATGGCTGAAGATTTGCACTATGAAAAGAGTGCAAAAAAACTCTTCTAAACATTATTTAGCAAAATTTTGATTATCAAGCACAATGAAAAAAAACTGTTACACAAAATGAAAAACTATAAAGGCAACTGACTGTCTTTGTTACAGGGCTGGGTAGGGATAACTTTTTTAGTAAGTTATTTTTGACTCGTATTTAAAACCTCATCTTCTGTTGCTTTTTTTTGTTTGTTTGTTATTTTGTAGCAAAAACATCACAAACGTGGAAAATAGGTTCGACAATTTCCAGCAAAAAATTTAGAGGGGGAAAAAAAAGCAAAGTCAATATTTGCCGGTAGGTTTTCATTTTTAAGATTCAAGTTAATGTTGAAGCCCAAATGTTGGCCCAGATGGTGGAGTTCAATTGCATATTCTCAGGGCTGAACACCAGACTGTTGAGGAAGCCAAAGCGTTTTGCAGCAGGACGCTTTTTCTTTTGGATCTCGAGGATGAAAGGGCGACATGGGTTCCTAAATGTTTGGCTGTCAGCTTACCTGTTGAAAGTCTCACACATTACTTGCTGCTCTAAAACGTTATGCTAGTTTTATTTTTTGGGAACTCACCGCAAAACTCCAAACAATTTACCTTCTTGGCGTTGCCCATAAAGCGAAAACAGAATGATTCAAAAATGTTTTATAAACCTAAAAACTGTCAGGTGAAAAAAAAAAAAAAAAAAAAAAAGGATTGTTCCCTATATGTGTGCAGAAATGGTTTTGTCCCTGAAGCAACACAAATAGTCTTCTGTGGCCAATAGAATTGTGGGGATTGTGGATCGTACCATTTTCTTGAAAAGTAGGGCACTTAATGATAGCCAGAGGACACTACAGATGAGAAGGAAGGGAGAAGCACTATCTAATCCAAACACCTTTTAGAGTCGCTCCCTCAGGTCCCCCAGGCAGATATTTTTTCTAACAGCTGTATTTTTTACATGGCATTATATATGACCAAAACTGGAAAACCAACTGTGTTTAAGAAAATAGTCCTTAAAGTATATTTATATATTAATATAGCTACGGAGAGCACTGATTCACAAATAAAACAAAAAACACACATCGCTGGTGACTAACAAGTGTGTATAATTGTGTATATAATAAAGCCGGTGTTTAATAACTGTTCACGTTGTGACATTTCTGCCTGAACATCTATAGAGCTTCATGTCATCTGCTGATGAAGACGGAATTTAGGTCCTGTAGATTTGCCCAAAGACATTCAATAAAGTCAGAGGGAACTAGGGACCCTGGGTTTGGCCATCTGATGGTTGGTCTAGAACAAAATGTTGTTACAGATGCCAATCAACATCTGAGGCTTATGGGGGAGGTGAATTCTGAAGGTGTTTTTCGGCTGTCTGGAGGTTAGGAGCACTTGCTACAAATAGATTGTATTGATATGAAATATTTTTTTGAATAAAATACAGAAAATGGTTAATAACAAACCATACCGCCCTGAAGAAGAGGGAGCCCCTTTCTCAAAACATTGGCTGTATTTCAATAGCCTGTATTGATATCAAATGTATATTGAATAAAATACAGCCAATGGTTAATTAAAAACCATGTAGCCCTGAAGAAGAGGGAGCCCCTTCCTTGAAACATGTTGGTTGTATTTCATTCAATAGCCTGTATTGATATCAAATGTTTATTCAATAAAAATACAGACAATAATTAATTCTAAACTAATATTGTTCTAAAGAACAGGGAGTCCCTTCCTCAAAATATATTGGCTGTACTTCATTCAATAGCTTGTGTTGATATAAAATGTTTATTGATATAAAAATACAGCCAGTGATTATATGTAAACCATTTGGCCCTGAAGAAGAGGGAGCCCCTTCCTCGAAACATGTTGACTGTATTTCATTTAGTGCCTGTATTGATATCAAATGTTTATTGAATACAATACAGTCAATGGTTGATTACAAACCATATGGCCCTGAAGAAGGAGGTGGTCCTTCCTGGATATATTTTAGCAGTGTTACGTTTAACTGCCTGTACTGATATGAAAGAACAGCCAATGCTTTTTGAAGAAGGCCTTTCCTCTTCCTCAGGAATGTATTGTTTGTAATTTTCTCTGAGCAAAATTCCTAAAATGCCTACTTTGAGACTGAAACAAAGCTGAGGTGTTGGAGTATCTACATGGGAATGAAAGTGGCTGACCCATGCATAGCCATATGTATACTATGTCAGCTTTTTTCAGCCTCAATGGCATTTTAAGGATTCTGGACAAAATTGATTGTATGGCCATAAAGAAGGGGGAGGCCTTTCCACAAAATGTTTTGGCTGTATATAATATCAGTACAAGCTATTGCAAATAATACAGCCAACACATTTCAAGGAAAACCCTCCCCCTGCCTCAGGGTTGTTTGGTTTGTAATTTATCTGGATGAAATTCCTTAATCTTTTAATGCTGCTGCCTCCGGCCCTTTAAGAGGTTCTAAATTCCAGGAGACAGGTGGGCATCCCGATCATGTGACTGCTATGATGGACAGTCACATTGGTCACATGATCAGAAAGCTCCTGATCGCAAGTATGCATTGGGAGCTTTCTGATAGCTGTACTGGGAGCACGCAGGGTGTATGCACTTAGCACAGGAAAATGTTTACATAGGGACGCAAATATGTGGCCTCTTTGCATTAAAGCCCAACTACCCAGAGGCCGCATGTATGCGTATGGCTGGCGGGGGAACCGGTTAAAATGCTGTGGGCAACCCCTGCATAGCCATGTGGCTTTTTTCCGCCTCAAAGACATTTTAGTAAATCTGGACAGAATTGACTGGCCATAAAGAAGGGGGGGGGGGGGGGCTTCCTCAAAATGTACTGGCTGTATTTCATATGAATACTAGCTATTAAAAAAAAAAAAAAAAATACAGCCAACCCATTTCAAGGAAAGTCCTCCCCCTTCTTCAAGGCAGTCTAGTTTGTAATTAATCCAGATTGAGATTCCTTAAAATGTCTGCTTTGGAGCTGAAAAAAGCTGATGTGTCATGGTATCCATGTGGGAATGCATGGGCCTTTCATTCCCAAATGGGTACACAGACACCCTTTATTCAGCCTCAAAGTAGACGTTTTATAGAATCCCTTCCAGATATATTGCAAATCAAATGGACCTGAAGAAGGAGACCCTTCCTTGAAACTTGTTGACTGTATGTTATCCGGTCGCTTGTATTGATATGAAATGTTGCAAGTATTCCGGGTGAGATTCCTTAAAATATCTGCTTTGAGGCTGACAAAAGTGGGTTTATTTACTAAAGCAAAATCTGAGTCACTTCTGCATATTAACCAATCAGCTTCAAGGTTTCATTTCCAAAGCTTATTTGAACAAGCTGAGATTAGAAGCTGATTGGTTTCTATGCAGAAGTGACTCTGATTTTTTGCACTCTCCTGCTGTAGTAAATAAACCCCACGGTGTCTGCATTCATGTGGGTCTGCCACTTTCTTTTCCATGTGGGTACTCTGACACACCAGCTTTTTTCAGTCTTGAAGAAGATTTTTTCTTATTCTCTTTTGGAATAATTACAACCATATGGCTATGAAGAAGGGGGAGGCTATTCTCAAAACATGTTGGCTGCATTTTATTCAATAAGCATTTCATATCAATAAAAGCTATCAAATACTTGTCCGAGTATCCAAATGTAAAATAAAGTGGCCGATCCTTATATTTCCATGTGGATATGCCAACACCCTCAGCTTCTTTTTCAGCCTCAAAGTAGGCATTTTAACAAATCTTGTCTAAATTGATAACAAACCATATGTCGCTGAAGGAGGGGCTTACTTGAGACATGTTGGCTGTATTTTATTCAAAAATGCAAATTAATGAAATACTTGTGAGCCACTAGAAGTTTTCTTACTAATAAAGCATTAAATTCAGTGTATAAAAATACTAATAATATTGAATTTATAAATAAAGTGAACGACTAATAAATCAATTGACGTGCTTGATTAAATAATTAAATATTTAGATCGCCAGGTACTTTTTACACCCTCTCCAGGTGTATGGATGTTAATTTCATATATCTATATTTTACCGCGCTCCAAAATTAATAGATCTAAGTGCTCTAAATAAATAAATAAATAAATATTGTATATAACTAAAAATTCAATAATAATCTATATCCATAATACTTAAATTCATAATTGCATAATACTTGAATCCATGATTGAAGTGAATCAAAAAAATTTCATTAATATTTGTAAATCAATGCATAAAAAACTGTGTGCCTGAAAACTATTAAAAAGTGAAAAAATATATAATGATATATAATGAAAATATAAAAAAAAATAAATAAATTAAAATAAACTGGAAGAAAATTTTGTATGAATTAATAATAGTTCAGTTCATACGAATTGAGATGGTAATGTGAATCAATCTGATTGGCGTGGTAAGTCTATGTTCATGACATGAACCTCTCTCTCCTTCCTCCTCTCCTTTCTCCTCAATTCAGCTTTTCTCAATTAGGACTTTCTCCTCTATCTGCTTGGCTTATTCCTCCATGAACGATACATACATAGAAAAGGGAAAAAGAAACATAGTGTCTTATCCTGAGTAAAAATGTTTAAT